ACATACTCCTGCAATCCCAACACATTTTTTTTGTCCCTTAGAGTCAATTGTTCACTCCTGGCAATTGCCTGAACTAGCTCTTGCAGTTTTGGTCAAGGTTTTTCAGAAGTGGTTTGCCATTGTCTGCTGCCTAGGGCTTTCCTCCACAAAGTTGAGGTTTGGCACAGAAAACCTAATTAATTATTACATTATAGTCCCTCTGGAAGAAAGCTATCTTCCATAATAAATAGCTAATGCTTCCATAAATCAGTGGAGTACAATCCACTCAAGGAGGAAGAAAATAAGAATTTGGTTTTGAAGTTTTAGAAGTAATGAACCGGAAACATCAATTCCTTAAGGTACTAGCAAATTCAGGAATCATCAACATAAACAGGGCATGAAGTTGAGGGAAACTGGAATGTTCTTAGGTATGCAACATTCCATTCTAGTCACAAACCCGATAGTCACTGATAGATTGAGATTCCATGAAATTGCTCAAATCTTTCCATATTTTATCTCTGCCATTTGGAAAACTACGTTTTTTAAAAAAAGAAATAATAAAAAATTAGGCATTTGAAAAATTTAAAAAGTTCCTTTCACATTCACATGATGGTATTATCTGGTAGCACCTTTCTGTCCCATGGAGTTCTTGGTACTCTTTGAGCTTGTTTCCAGACATTTCATTACCCAACTACCATAGGTAATACTGGTACCATCATGTGAGTAAGAGTGGAATCGGTTCCCTCTTTGTTTACAGTAATTTGCCTTGCCAATTTTGGCGGGGTATGATTTTTTTCTTTTTTTTTTTATTGAAAAGTTTTACAAAAAACAAAAATTTTCTTCCCCCCCATATTCCCCCCACCCTTTCCCTCCCCTCATCCGACCCTCCCCCCCAGACTTCCCAGAGCAAAATACAAGGTGTTTCATTTAACAATCATAAACTAGATTAACCTACTTATCCTCAGACTACTAACTCCCCCCCTGAAACCTTAACTCCACTATAGATAACATAATACTTCTAATACTTAACGTTCATTCATAAGTTATTGGATATTTTCTTGTCTGATACTTATTTTGAATATAGTCAATCCATCTTCTCCATTCCGATACATATCTTTCTTGTGTATAGTCCTTCAAGTACGCTGAGATTTTCACCATTTCTGCTAGGTGATTAACCTAGCAGATTTTTTTTCTTTAATAGTTCCTTGATTAGAATAGTATTTTCAGATAGTTTATTTGTCTGGTGTTTATGCTTATTATGCTTATCTGGCTGCTGGAGAGGATGTGTGCAGGTCTGCTTCCTTTTTACTTTATTTATATTTCATATTTCTTAACTACCCATCTCTCTCAGAAAGGGGGTCTGGGAGATGTACAATTTAATCAATCAAATTAAGCATTAGAAAAAGAATAATTTAGGATTATTTTTTAAAAAAATTATAAAAAAACATCATAACATTTTAAAAAGATGGAAGTTCCAAGATAGGGATGAGTTGTTAATACAGGTGGGGGGAGGGCTCTCATGGGGCCCAACCAGCCCATCTCCCTCTGAATGGGGCTTTGAGCAGTGTATAATAGTTGGGTGCTATGGTGATGTTGTATGGTTGTAATCATCTGTTATTTACAAGAAGTTTTTGATGCATGGTAATATTATCCATTCCATATGTCATGTTGGTTGTGCTGCAGTTGATTGAGTGGTCAGGTATTTTTTTTTTTATAAAGTTGCACAGGTATCCATTTTGTTGGAATGGATAGGTGGTTTGTTTCCTTTTTCTGGTATTCTGAGTTCTGTAGTGAGTTTGTATTTGTCTGAATAATGTTCTTACCCAGCTCCTCTTATAGAGCGTTAGATTGCTACTTTGGTATGGAGGAGTTTGTAAGTGTGAGTTGTTTTTAAATGCATTTCTATTTTGGCATTGTTTCCTTTGCTGATAGGAATAATTTATTGGTAATTAGTAATAACTAAAGAGAAAAGAACAAAAAAATGAAAAAGGCCAATAAGAATGTTAAAAAAATAGATGAAATAAGATATCTATTGATTTATCAGTGGCATAAAGAAAGTGAGTCTGGAAGGTGATGTTATGTTATTATGCATTGTTATATATCACTCAACTCCCAGCAACTTTAGTTCACAGATAAACCACACAGAACAGTAAAATAATGCAATGATAAAAACAAAGAACAAAATATGTCCAAACCATATAACAATCAAAGCAAATCAATTTTACCCAGAAGATAATATTCAAGTGTTTAACATCTAAACCATTGGCGTTCTAATGATACTAACAAATCCACAAAACTGGCTTATTCTCTTGAGTGCCTCTGAATGCACATCAGGTAAAGGAAGGACAGTTTTTTTCTGTAGACTAGCCAGAACAATTTGACAACAGAGGACTATTAAATCTAAATGTCAAGCTGTATCAAAAAGGCAACACAATAAAAAACAAGTAACAGACTCCATTTCACCCTGCTGGCAAGTAGTAGTCAATCTTGGATTAAGCAGCACCCTTCAGATAGAACAGAAGGGAGGGACATAGGCCTTTCCAAAGAGGAAGTTCTTTGCTGTGATACAGTCAGAATGTTTGTCACATAATCTGCTGGGGTAAAAGGTCTTCCATCTATACCAACCCTGTATGAACCAGGGATATATTCCAGTCATTGTGAAGGTCAATATCAGAAACATTGGCTTTCAATTCTAGGTTGGCTGCTCTAATCTTGATTAATTTAACTATTGAACAGAGAGGCCATGTTTTCTAAGTTGAGTTCATTGCCTTTTTTTCAAGCTAAGTAAAAACTACCCAGGAGAGTCAGAACAGCCAAAGAGCTTTCTATTGAAATAAATATAGTTTATTTCAATAGAAATAAATTATGCTCACTGTGGAGTGAGGCCTTACTTGTTGAAGTAAGGCCTCACTCCACAGACAACAAAGATTTGGGAATGTTCTAGGATGCTCAGAAAATAGATATTAATTTTTCTACTGAACTGCTTCAGTGGACATGAGATCTTTATCAAAGCAAATCTGGGAGCTATCATAGTATAGAAAGATAATAATCTTAGCTCTATAGATATTAAGAGCAGTGGGCACATAGTTACTTTCAACCTCTACTTCCTGCAAAATACAGGATTGCGCTGGCAGGTTCATGAGCTAGGAGCTTTTCATTATTCCTTCCAAAATTGCAAATGCCTGAAGGGCTATTCCTAGAAATTTAAAAATCTTAGCTTGCTGAATACTAGTACTGTTTATTTTATAACAATGCCTTTTACTGAAGACCAGAATAATTACAGCAAGTCTTCCCTCTTCAAAATGCAATGCAATGTAATCTGAAAGTTACTTAGGTTAACTTGAGTGTGGAGCAAATCTGCAAAATGGAGAACCGAGAAAGGTTCATCCAATTTGAGTGGACGGAATTCAGTGTGTTTTACAGCTTGGATTATGGAGTATGTAAAAATTAAAAAGGAGAGGAAGAAACAGATAACCATTCTTCACTCATTTTTCATTGGGAATTAGCATCAAGAGACATCCTGGAACGTATTTTCATATGCTTCCATTCAATCAGAGGCTGCCAGAAAGATGCAAAGTCCATCACTCAGAAATAAATCAAACATCACTTTAACAGTGATGAAAAACAGTGTTATATCAGCCTCCTTTTGGATGATATGCATATTTTCCCCATGAAATGTAGTAGAATTATGGGGTGATCAAAAATGAATCTATCTGTTAAAATACAGGTGACTCCTTAATCTGAATCTTATTATGAGCCAGCCAGCAAGCAATTTCAAATGTAGGCACATAGAATACACTTTACTAATTGTAATTAGAAAAATAACTGAGTAGTAATTAGCTGGATCAAAACTTAACTTTTTTTTTTTTTTTATGAAACCAATTCTTCAAGATCTAGTAAGCACAACCTATATGAGTAAACAGCAGGCCCACTAGCTGGGATTTGCCTTTAGTAATTCAGCCACAAACAAATCCTTTCTGAATGCCTTATTATTATTACAGGGGTGTCAAACTGGCGGCCTGCAGGCTATATGCATCACATGCAAGCCACGCCCACCCCAGCTCCGCAAAGCGGAAAAACATCGCAATATGTCATGTGACGGCAACATGACGTTGCAAGTTTGACACCCGTTCCTTACTATGTTACAACTGGAGGATCAGAGTAAATGTCTGCAAGGATTATGAAGGACCAATCTGCCTTTAGGATAGCTTTAGAAGGACTGAATTCAGTTAATCACTGAATGAGGAAATGCTTCTAAATGATCGATCTTTAGAATAATTGACCTAGATGCAACTTAACCCTTTAGAAAAGAATAGATTCTCATGCTGAGAGGTTCATAATCATGACTATTTGACCTATTGTACCAATTATAGTACGGCTTTTGTTTTTTCTCCATTTTAAAATAGAATTATAACTTTTTTAAAAAACCAAGTCCTAATTTTTGAACTAATCATCATTATTGGCTAAATAAGCTCTGTAATGTTAACTAACCTAGATTGGCCATAACACAATCTTGATCAAACCATGACTTGAATATGGGTTAGATTCTCATATTCTTCACTGGAGCTTTAGAAATTAATATTTTCTGAATTATGAAGACTATTTGATGAAATCTAAATCATATGTCTGAGACTTTCTTCCCAGTAAAGATAAACTGGCAGAACAGAGTGGCTCTAAAATAGCTAAAACTTTATCATAATACTATTTCCAGCTCTTTAGATACTCTAATTTAGCATACTCATTATTGAGACCAATTAGTCATTGATAATAATTAATAGTAACTTTGTGTTTAAAGCATTTTGTTCATTCTCTAATTGCATTTTATATATATTCACACATATGACCTAAGTTCTGTTTCTTTGTGTATTAATATTAAACGAGATGTATTATCATTAAAAACTCTAGTAGTACATAGCTGAATGTTTATGCTTGCTAGAAAACATGGAAATTAAAGTAAGTTTGGAAAGAAAAATATATAGATTAACACCATATCAAATCACCAAAACTGAAGTTTTCCCTACCTGTTGTTGTTTCATTATGTGATGCAGTTCCATTGTCATGTAATGCTTCAGAATGTAGAAAACTAATGGAAATTAGTAATATTGAACAAAAATATTCCATCTTGGATCTGTCAAAGAAACAATAAGTAAATAAATAAATAAATTTGAAACAAATATTTTAAAAGTCATATTATCAGTATAATTTCCTCACATCTATCAGAGAACTTAATTTAATTTACTATTAGAATAAAAATTTACTCTGTCTCCGGTGGTCTTTTTACTTTTGTCTAATTGCTAGTTCATCTGCCAGATCTAAAGACTTGTGTTGTTTCATGAAAATATCTGTAAGAGAAAATGCTTTTTTGATGCTACTTAGTTGATGCTTTTTCTTTAACCATCTCATTTCTCTCTTTTTCATCAGTAAAACACAACTTTCTCAGACTTCTCATTGTCTTGCTCTTCTTTCATGTATTTCTTTGATTTGTTTCTAATCATTCTGTTTATCACATAATCACATCAACATACTTCTTCCTTAGAACATTTCATATCCTACCTTCCATTGTTCTACCAGTATTTGTTCATGAAAAAAAATATTTTCCCATCTTCACTTTTCTCTCCAACATAATTGTTTGATACATTAAATATGACACTCTACACCAGGGGTCCTCAACACCCAGTCCGTAGATCAGCGCCAGGCTGCGGGATGCCAAAAACCGGGCAGCGCAAACAAGCAAAACCCCATCTGCAGGATGCAGGCAGCACATGAAACCACACCCCCTCCGGTTCACGGAAAAACCTCTCTCCACAGAACCAGTCCTTGGTGCTCACAAGTCTGGGGGCCACTGCTCTACACTGCCTCATTCAAGATATGTAATATTCTCTAGAAACAATTCAAGTTCCCTTGACAAAGGGATTATCCATATGCAGTAGAAAAGTATAGAGATAACGCCAAATTCCTAAATTTATCCCAAGCATTGCTTTTATATGTATACATATAAACATTTAATAGTCAAATCCTTGTCATAGTCCCTGCTTAGTGTTGGAATCTTTTGCTAATCATTCTCATTTTTTGTAAACATATACCACAAACATATAACACATGCAAACAGATCTGTAGTCTCTTTCACTTCATTAATACCATTAAGCATCTTTTTTCCTACTTCTTATTATAGCATGCCTAGACAATTCTCTGGTACTCTGTAATTAATCATTCTATTGCAAGCACCATCTGTATCCTTTTTTTTTTACATCCACTTTGCATTCATTAATTCTGTTGGGAAATTATTCTACTCAGTCTTTCACTTTTATAAAGGTAAAGGTTCCCCTCGCACATATATGCTAGTCGTTCGTGACTCTAGGGTGCGGTGCTCATCTCCGTTTCAAAGCCGAAGAGCCAGCGCCATCGAAAGACGTCTCCATGGTCATGTGGCCGGCATAACTAAATGCCAAAGGCGTACAGAATGCTGTTACCTTCCCACCAAAGGTGGTTCCTATTTTTGTACTTGCATTTTTTACGTGCTTTCGAACTGCTAGGTTGGCAGAAGCTGGGATAAGTAACAGGAGCTCACCCCATTACACGGCACTAGGGATTTGAACCGCTGAACTGCTGACCTATCGATCGACAAGCTCAGCGTCTTAGCCCCTGAGCCACCTTGTTCCTCTTTTTCACTTTTTTCACTTTCATATCTTTTTATTACTAAATTAGCTGGATACCCGTGCTTCGCTACGAAACTATGTGATGGGGCTTGATAAATCAACACTTATAGCTTGAAAATTAATTAGTAGTTATGATCGGTCTTCTCCTCTCCCCTTCTCTCCCTCAGCCTTGCTCACAGAAATGTTTCCTATCCTATCCCCTTCTCTCCCTCAGGCTTGCCCCACAGAAGGCTCCCCTACCCTATCCCTTACTCTCCCTCAGGCTTGCCCCACAGAATCCACCCCTATCCTATACCCTGGTTGCTGCTGTGAAAGTAAAACTGAAACTGAAACTCCTCTCCTCTGCTTGTGTTTTGCATTTGGAACAGATTTCTTTTCAGGTGGGGAGGGGGAGTAGAACTCCTTAGCATCAGAGGGCTGTTTGGAAAGTGAAACAGTATTTGCTGTATGTAAAATATCTTTTCCTAGGAAAATAGTGAAAACTAGTTTCCATTTTTATTTGTTCTTGGATGGCCAATCAATTTTTGTGTACTTTCCCATCTCTATGCCACACATTCATTCGTTTCACCTAATTCAATTCCCCCCCCCTCTGGAATGCATATACTCAAGAGTGTTGCTATTTTCTCAAAACTCATTACCACTTCCTTCTTTCATATATATCCAAGTAATCTAATTAATTCATACCTTGTGCTATATTTTAGCCCTTTCATTCATAATTAAGTCTACATGTCCTATTTTCCACATATATTTATCCACTAAATCACAGCATCTATATGTTGAAGGAGCATGCGTCCATGTTTCCATTATCCCTCAGTTTAACAGTGTAGCAAACAATGAAGCAAAGTCAATCAAAAGGAGAGTCAGAACCAAAAGTGGTTGTGATTACAAATGTGCTTCTTACCTTATTCAGAATGCAACTTACATTCAGTTTTACTCATTGATATGCCATCCTTTCCACCAGACTCTGGGTGGCTTACAGAATCACATCAATAAACTCTAACTATAAAATCAACATAAAATTATTCAGCCAGTCAGTCACCTAATAGCTAAAGCATAAAATTATATATCTTCAGGGACAACAGCAGCTAACCTTCCTTCAACCTATTTTCCAAAGATTCACTTCAAAAGGAAAAGAACAAAGTCAGCACACCTACAGAGAAACCTTGCTTTTATACTGCCATTTCTCAGTCAATCCGGGAACAAAGGATCACTCGTAGACCTTCCCTAAAGCAGTGTTTGTCAACTATAACAACTTAAAGATGTGGGGGACTTTGAGGCCCAGAATTTCCCAGTCAGCATACTTGGAGAAGGCAGTTCTTTTAGAATCAAAAACTGGAGTTATGTCAGGATTTATAATAACAAGTCCTTTGAGTAGTATCTGAAAACTTAATGGCCCTCAATGTAGTCCTAGACTTACGACCACAATTGAGTCCAAAATTTCCAATGCTAAGCAAGACACTTGTTAAGTGAATTTTGCCCCATTTTACCACCTTTCTTGCCATAGTTGGTAAGTGAATCTCTGCTTGTTGTTGTTAAGATAATTAACATGGTTAAGTGAACCTGGCTTCCCCATTGACTTTGCTGGTCAGAAGCAGTGGTGGGTTGCCCCCGGTTCGCACCTGTTCTATAGAACCAGTAGTAAAACCGGCGGAAGGCTCTGCCCACTGACCCCGACATCATCAAAACACTTCTGCGCATGCGCAGAAGCTTCTGCGCTTGTGCAGAAGAGCGCACGCGCGTGGCCCCGCTACAAACTGGTAGTAAAGGTAAGTAGAACCCACTCCTGGTCAGAAGCCCTAATAAGCAGGTATATACGAAAGAGTGAAGGCTATTGCTATAAGTGCATTGTAAGCCGCCCTGAGTCTTCGGAGGAGGGCGGCATATAAATTGAACTAATAAATAAATAAATAAATAATATTAATCTAGGTTATACCTTTCAACATCTATTCAAGGAATGGCTGTATCTGGTGCACCAGCCACATTTGAGCGTAAGCTCTCTCCACCTGCTGCTTCATGAGACTGGTTTCATTTGGGCAACTGTAGCCCTATCCAGAAAATAACCCTGATATTGGGAAAGATTGAAGGCAAAAGAAGTGACAACAGATGATGATATGGTTCAATAGTGTCATCGCTGCAATGAACATGAATTTCAGCAAACTCCAGGAGACAATGGAGAACAGAAGGCCTGGTGAGCTGTGATCCATGTGGTCGCATAGAGACAGATATTGATTTAGGCAACTGAACAACTAATCCCTGTCAAAAATTAAAGAATACACTAAAGATACAGTAGATCTAGTACTTTCTGATTAACTAAAGCATACTCAATGTCTTTCTTGGCTTATGTAAGACCAATTAGTTCTGAGGTCAGAGGACATATAGGCATTGATTAATGGGGATATAGAATGGCACAGTTTGCAAGCCTTCAGACTGAGAGGCCTGAAGATTGATGAGCTAGCCCAGTGTTTCTCAGTATCAGTGACTTAAATATCTTAAAGCTGCTGAAACTGAAAAACATTGGCTTACAGGCTCTCTACTGGTGGCACAGAGTAAAATAGACCAATGTTTTCAACTATTTACTCCATATTCCCAGCCATCAATTTATCCAAATGAAAAGCCTTGGTACACCCCTAACCACATTTTTAAAAAATCATATCATAAATGTTGGAAATGATTCTGCACACACAAAAAAACTTGGATCGGTAAGAAGAGAATTTTATTTATCAAAAAATAAATACATAAAATAAAAAAAGGCAGTTTGCAAAGTGCGGTGCATCTCGGCGGGAAACTTCAACAGGAAGTTCTAAGACAAAAGCCACACCCCTGAATTCAAAAGCAAGACATTTTATACACCCTAACGCGGCGCCCCATTCCCTCCCCTTTGGTCCCATTCGATAGGTCCTCTGGGGTTACAACTAATCCGAGGTGCCTATTAAGAATACATTAATCCCCTTCCTGTCCTTGTTTGCTTACATGCCATTATCAGCCAAACTTCCTAGCCACGTGCTGTTTTAGTATGACTAATTCCTAACAGTTGATAATACAAAGGATTTTATTTTTGAATTTCATTGTTTCTTACCTAAATATATGGACTTATGGGAAGTGATTTCTATACAAGTAGGTTTCTATGCCTACTAGTTCTTATAGACAATGGATTATGCCTCTTTTTCATGATTCTTGCCTAAACCCTTAAAATAAGAGTTAAGAATAAAGAGTAAAGAGTAAAGAGAATTGTATCGCTCAATAATAAAGCAAAAGTTATCCTGCAAACGTGGGGAAGGGGAACCCAGTTGTCCTGGTCCTTAGAGTTTTTTTCTTAAGAGAAAAAATACGGCAAACACAAAGACATGCAAAACCTGACCAGAATATATAAAAGCAGTCTTTAAAGAGAGATTTTGTTTTGTTTTTATAAAAATGGATTTATTTTTAAATCTGAAAGGAGAAGAGAGGATATTTTGAAGGACATTATGGAAAA